CGAGAAAAAGAAAAATACATATAGGACACCCACTAACTAGTAATGTTTTCACTTAAATAGATCTTTATTGATCACTTAATTTAAACGAATTCCTATTTGTGTTGGAGCTTTATTGATCACTTAATACATGTAAGCGAAACTGAACTAAGTGAGAGTATATTACTCTGGCAAAAAAAAAAAAAAACAGCATATTACTCTGGGATGCATGAAAATTAAGTTCTATGTTATATGTCTTAGGGTAGTGTATGATATGATGAAATAAGGATAGACTTGTACTGATGTAAACTATGCAATTTTCATTATTGATGACTTTATGCATTTATTGATAAATTTGAAAATTGCATTGTAGTTTTTATCTGTTTTTCATCCATGCAATACATTTAGGTTGTACATCCATCCATGCCTGATTTTTGGGGCTCAAGTGATTTGATTGGAGGAGGAGTAGTGGTCTGGGAAGCTAAAATAAGAGATTGTGCAGGAAAGCTTTAGGGATTGGTCAAGCGACCCATACACGTATGAGATTCTCAGCCTGACGGGATTAAAAATCATATTTCTCCTTATTCTAACACATACTATCTCACTCCACTCATGAGAAAACTTTATTTCTCTCATACCCATGGCTAACCCACTCTCATAAAGTTTATTTAGGGTGATTTTAGGTGTATTCCAACTTTAGATCTTTGGTATTCACTTGATATAGCACCCATTCACCGAATATTTTTGGGAGAATGGTGCCAAGAGCTAACAAACGAGCTTGGGTTAGAGTTATTTATGAGAGAAGTAGATTCCAAGATCCTCATTATCGTGATATGTATAGGCAACAATTTTCTTCAAGGCTGGTAATGGTGGAACGCAGAGTAAATTTCACTAGGATACATAATACTTCTATTCGTGTGAATTTTGAGTCTAGAGGGTAGAGTTAGCTATTCGTGTCCCCTGAGCCAGCAAAAGAAACCATTTTTGGAGAATTTTATGCACAAATAAGGAATATTGCAGTTGGTAATGAGCATTTTACCACATATGTTTGAGGTGTGTTGTTTGACTTCTTTAGTGACTTGATTTCCAGCACTCTACACCTACCCTCGAGTATCTCATGATGCATTTAGAGATAGTAGATTTTTTGAGGAAGTACATAGGCTCTGTAATGTTGTATCTGAGTTATATGGAGCTCGATACCCCGATGGTTGGAACTGTACTAATTATAAAATCTAGGAAAATTTAAAATTTTATTAGAAATGGGAAAACAGTAATTAGTCGCTACGGTGCTAGTTGAAAACCTAAAATTTTCTAGAATTTAGATTATAAAACAGACCTCACAGTTGGAATTCGTCTCGTGAAATCTTGCTACCCAACCAATTTTTGTCGAATTCAAAGACAGTCGAATTTTTTGCATTTCATAGTGCAATCAGGAGTCACGCGATTAGATTTTATTCATGAAACCCAATAAATAATTTAAATTTAGTTCAATAAAAGTATACTAAACTTAACACGAGATGAAATCAGATCATAAAGATGAGATGTGTGGAGCGTTGTAGGCCAAGCACTTAAGAGGTATAAAAAGGGAGACAAAGACAACCCGAACCAAGCAAGCCAAGTGAGGTAGACCTACATGCTTAAAGGCTAGCAAACGGTAGTTGAAGTCGCTTAAGAATAGAAGAAGTAAGGCAAGTGATAACTTACTCTACCAGCTAAAAAAAGGGAAGGGCGCCCTAGCACACGTAGGCGCCAGGAGAGGAAGCAATAGAATATAATAAGTTAGGTAGGCTCTAAATGATAACTTAAAACTCTTTATTCTAGTTGTTATCATCTGGTGGACAAGAAGGTTTTCTTAGGCGTTGTAGAGTTGTGTTTAGTGAGAAAGGTGAAACTTGCAATTTCATAACGGCAGTTCCTATAAAAGATGAATCCTCCTATTCTATTAACTCGGCCAATACTCCAATTGCTTGAGATTATAGAGATTCTCAATTGTTAATGGGAACAATGTGGGAGAGTGGTACGCATGAGGTCTCGCTCTTCTTTCTAGAAGTGCTCCTTTTCAAAGTCCTATTTTTTGGCACAATTAGGTATGTGAAGCTCAATATCTAGAGTCTGAAGCGTTTCTGATCAACTATTATCTATGGAGCTGATAGTAGTACATTTTGCTTATTCTTTCCCTTTTTTGGACACCCATTTTCAAGTTTCAAGGTGACACAAAAGAAATGGATTTATCAAATCATGTATTTCTGGATTGAGAAAAAGGATAGGGATCATGATCAGCACACTCCATCTATCAAATTGAGATCGATCTCCCCTCCCAAATTATCCCTTCTTTCAAGATCAGATCGAGTGATTTTTATTCCAACATAACTCCCATCGCTCTACTTTTTCCTCCTCTTGAAAATTCTCTCTCTTCATTGATTTTCATTACCACTAAAAGAGAAAGAGAAGGCTCCCTCTACTTCAAGGAAAATTGAAGAAGGCACTGAAAGAGATAGTGAAACTGGGGCAAAAAGAACTGAAAGCTCAAAAGATTTCATGATTGCTGCTTATTGACCGGCAAACTGGCTACTAGCAACTACAAGATGAGAGCTAAGCTTGCCAACTACCAACCAAGCCAATACGCCATTCCTAACCCTTCCCAATCAAATTTTTCTCCTTATTGTTTAGTCAAACATAGCCAAAAAAGAGTGAGAGGGAGTGAAAAGAGAAAAACCAAAGATCTCTGACCTTTGTTTACCGATCTACGGCGATCCGACTATTGGATTTCTTCTGGCCAAGAACAAAGGTTGTTATACACGATGAGAGCTACGCGTACATACTCCAGATCGAGAGTTTCACCATGATCTCGAAGACAGGATTCTTGGGATCAAAGCTTTGAAGCTTGATTTGGGATCTTCTGAGCTTTTTCTACGTGGTGTTACACTACAAGAGATAGGGTTCCTTTCCTAACTAAGTTTATTTCTAACCTAAGGTTGAAATAAATGGGTAGCAACACATACCTAATATAGTTGAAACATGGAAAATGAGTATAGGAAAATGCTATAATCAACTCTTGTATGATTTGGTATAATTGAAATTGCTTGGCTTTTAATTTTATGAATAATTTGATATATTGAGTATGCTATGTGTTTACATACCCTTTGTGTCTTATAGGTGTTTGATAAAAATTTTATAAATGATTAAGTGTGTTATTTGAAATGAAATTGATATAACAGGCTTAACGGAGATTGTGGAATGTAATTACATGCTTATGATAAAATTGAAATGTGAGGAAATGGGATATGTTCATTATATGCTTTTGATATGAGAAACAAGATATTGTATTTTACATTTTCATAAGCATGGGTAATATCACATTCGTGGGCATTCGATATGAGTGTGGGTGTGTGTGCATGATTTTGATCAAATACCATTCTTGGTGGATTGATACGTGGGTTTGGAAAGGTTGGACCTAAATTCGGCTGAGTCACACAAGTAGCATAGAAAATCTGTGTCGGGTGTAGCAAGAAGAGGTAGATCCTCCCTCGGGTGTAAAGAAGGAGTTAGTAGTATTTCTCTGGATATTCTAAAGAAGGAGTCCCAACCTATGAACTAAGGTTTATACTCTAAACTAGGGTTTTAATATTTATGTGATTGTTTGAATAAGTTGTGTTTTTGGGAACCTAATTGGTTTGCATACTTTCTAATTATCTATATAAAATTGGTTTTGGTATGGATAATTACTAGTGTTTTCTGCAACCTTTATGATATTGATTCTTTTGTCATAGATTGTCTTTCAATTGCTATTTTTGATTCTTTTCAAACTGTTTAGTTAAAAATCATCCATCTATACTAGTTTGAATACAAAAACAGATGAGTTATAGATTTAGAGTAGAAATTCTTATTCATAAGTGGGATGAATTTTGAAGATTATCTAACTTTTCAATTATTGAATTTTTTTTTATTAGTAGTTAATTTCCAAACTCTCAAATTTCAAAGAATTCTAGAAAAGGTGATGTTGTTCAAACTTACTTCTAAATTATTTAATATGTTATTTATGATCATTTAACATGTTTTGAAATATATGATTGGGTATTTTGATAAGAGCTTGGAATGATCATGTTGCTCGAATTGTTCGTATTGAATGAAAATCTGGGATCCTTTTGATTGAAACATAAGTGCATAGAAGTTTGAGTGGCAAATGGTTTGCATTCCAAGTTGAAGTCGTTGATTGTTTTTCATTGAGTTCATAAATGCCTGGGTGGCCCTATGGTCTTCAGACTTGGGTACCAAATTGGATCTTATTGACTTGACAATGTATCTTCCTTGAAGTGTAAGCCCCCTAAATTATTGGATCATATGTTCGTATGGATCATATTGACCATGAGTGGTGTATCAGGATGATTGCTCGACGGGTGTGGCACTGTATTAATGTTGTGATCGTATTACTATTTTTCAAACTTAATTGTTTTCGCCCAACATTTACTGTTTCTCATATATATATATATAGCAAGTCCTCTAAGTGAGGGAAGATCCATGTCGGGTCCCCCCCTAAAAAAACAAGAAGTACCTTCAGAATATCAAAAATTGTAAAGCTCCAATTTTAATTAATAATTTAATTTTTTTTTGGGAAGTTCCTTTGTATGAAGAAATAAACCCTTTGCTAGGGTGTGGGGATGGAGGACAAAGAAAAAGACCCAAGGATGAAATTCTGGGCAAAATACCCATGAATGCTCAAGAAAGGAAAAAAAATGTGGCAAAGGCAAGGTACCGGGCCCAAGTGGAACCACCCAATCGTACTTAGGGCCAAGGTTAGGCACCACTATTTAAATCCAAAGATAAAGATTTGAACCCAATAAGCTTAGTGGGTTAGTGTGATGATTAGAATATTAATCGAAATATAGGGTCCTAAAACGTTTAAGAGGTAGGTTTTTTTTACTTAGGGAATGGGAAAATATTCAAATACTGAAAACAAGAATGTAGTAGACAATAGTGTAATTTAATTTTAAGTTAGAAAAAAAAAAAAGAACGAATACAATCTACTAGGAGCTAGAGGGAGGGATCCAAATGGGAGTATCTTCAATCGGGAGCCTAGAAGTAGCATTTTCTTCGGAACGCTTCTCACTATGTATAGGAACCGACACTGGGTCTCTTGAATAGAGCTCTAAACATAATGGGACTCCAACAGTGGACAAATATGCATCCGAACCTTGCTTTAACAGGCCTGCCTTCAAAATGGAAATTTGCTTCGCAAGCTGCTTCTTGGCCTTGGCAATGTTATCATCATTAGCCTTATCTTCAAAAGCCTTCAAAGAGGCTTCAAAATCCTCTATAAACAACAAAAACTCCTTCTGAACATGAGAAACCTTCTCCTGTACCTCCTTTTTTCCAAAATCTTTAATGACTTAAACTTCGACCCCATCTATATGTTCTCATCCAACACCTCAATCTATAGAGCTTGATGATGGGGCACTTATTTAGAATGTTGGGAACTATCAGAATCAAGACGCTCTGTGTTCTCGATAGCAACTAGCTAAGCATATATGGCTTTTTTTTTTAAAGCCTAATCCTTCCTCATTATACAAGCCCCAAATTCTTGGACTTGTTCAAGACCATAGCAGCAAAATAACATGTTACCAAAAATTGAGGAAATTAACTAAGATTGAGAAATTTAGGAAAAAATCATACCAACACCATCATCTGAATAGCATTTTGGGTAATCTCCTAGTCACATATGCTTTCAAAAATATTGAGGTTAGGCAGAAGGATTACAACACGAGCAATGCCAACTACTACACCAATATTGGCAATCAACGAATCTACAATTGTAATCTCATTTGATTTTACCTTGAGGGTTGGGTTCTAGTTGGGGCGCTAGTCTCCTCTAGGTGTCAATCGCAATACTTCTCTTCTTATTTTTGTGACATGGTTTCATCACAATACTTGGACATTAGGGGAGGATGTCTCACTGCCAAGTTGCTCGACAAGATCTTGAGCGACGGTGGGGCTTGATTGGGGAGACATAGGAGGTTGGGAAGTCTGAATGACTGGTTCATCATCCAAAATATAGATCGGGGAGGCTCGGTGGAAGGTCCCAACATTAGAAGGAATGGAAGGCGTCAAATTCTACACCAAATCAATGAAGTTTCTTACAACCCTTTCCCTTCCCATGTCTTATTTTCTAGATTTCTTTGGAGGCTTGGAGGTGGAACTACTTTGAGCTTGAACATCTAATTTTCGCTCAGCAAGTGCTACTACAAAAGTTGAAGGGTTGCTACAAAGGAATGGTAGGTAGTTTGATAGTCAAACAAAATGTGTGGTTCTCGACAAAAATGGTATGTGGCACCAAAGGACCAGACCTTCCTCTGAGTCTCTAAGTCTACCAACTTCTAAGACATATTCCCTTCGACAGGTTTCTCTACACAAAACAGAGGAGATTTGAGGAAAAGAAGTCGAGAATGAACAAAATAATAAAGCAAGATCATTCTTCCTAACTTGGAAGTAACTATTCTTTTCAACTGTGGACTTTAGGATGTAGCAGTAGAGAATTTCCTAGAGACCATGGTCAACATCAAGAAGATTGTTAAGGGCCACCATACCTATAACTATCCTAAAGAAGTTAGGACAATGATGGTTCTTGTAGGGATAGGGATGGACTCTCAAGAACGTATAAGAGGTTTATCTTTCCCAGAAACCCTAATGACCACGTCATTAGAGGTACACTAATGCTATTGGGACATAATTGAAGGATATAATTTGGGGGACATGATGAGTTATCACTAATGATATGATAGTGAAATGTATTTAATGATGAGTCCAATTGTAACATTAATAAATTCATTATCATATCATTGGTGACAACTCATTATGTCCTCAAATTATGTCCATAAATTATGTCCCAATAGCTTTGCTCTTAGAGGTATTGTACTTGACCCTAAATTATGGGATTTGCTCCTTCAAAAGGGCAACGATGGAAAAAAAAACAAGAAGATGAAATTCAAAACAAACAGTGAACAATGAAATTACACTTGCCTGAAGGATAGCAGAGAACTTGAGAATGGGAGCAATGAAGGAAAAAAGAAGGGTGGAAAATGTCACAATTTTTGACAAAGATGCAACCCTTTTGACGATCAAGAGATGTTTCGAAACACCTTGTCACAGTAATTGATACATAGCATTTAATGACAAAAATCATTACAGTAGAGAATGTATGTTAATGATTGCCATGTGGCATACATGCCCTATGGTAGATGAAGGGGTTTAGAATATCCTTTTGTATGATTAGATCATCTAATAGAGACACATGGCATGAGACATATGACAAAAGCTAGGAAGTCAATATTTTGCGAAACAGAGTGCCTCTGGTTGAGCCAAAGAGAGTTCAACCGAGTGGATATTAGTATCAATTGGCTTAAATTGAAGACTTCCAATGATCAGTTTGATTAGTCGAACTCTCGAGCAATATGTGTACACCAAGCAAAGGTATGAGAGATGTAATCAAATGAACTTAAAATGAGGTACCACCCGTCAATTGAATGGTTTTTTTTTGAAAGGGGGACTTCAACCCTTAAACTCAAGAAGACAAAACCTTCATAAAGTAAGGTGTATTATTAGACCAAAGACAGGATTAGGTTCATTTGAGCAAAAGATAGCTAGGTTATTATCGCAAATGACCAAAGGTGGTCATAGCTAACTAATAAAGAAATTGTTTATTTAGAGGTGCACATTATTAATATATGACCTAAGAAATTGACTGATGAGAAAGGAAATCCAAAAAGAGTCAAACACAAATATGGGAAGATCTGACAAGAATATAAGTGTGTAACCCCATTCCAACCAGAATTCCATATCTTAAAAAAGCGTGATACACTTCTCTAGATACTGGACGACCTGAAGTTTAAGTACATAGTTTTCTCCCTAGAAAATGTTTCCTTCAGAGCCTTTACTAAATCATGTATCGGCATGCCTCCAGCCAATTAAACCCCAATTTGTTCATCTTGCTAGGGAAAAGTGCACCCAATTTTATTTGTTTGATTCAAGTCATTCAATTTCTAAATTAATCATCACCGTTTTCATCATTAAGGTACATAATATATAGTCACACAAAAATGATTAATGTCCTCCTTGGTAAATTTTGTGTTCTTAAATAAGTCGTCTGTGTCCTAGATTTGAACAAATGAATAAATATCCTGACAAGGCCCAGTGAACCAATAACTAATCAAAACGATCAATTTGGGTTCCCATCACAAAAAAGGTCTCAATATAAAGAATCTTTGTCTCATAACAACTTACGCTACAGAAAATAAGACCCCATCAAAATCTAAGCTTAGGAAAAAATTCTAAGTCCAACCCTAAAAATCATTACAGTTTTTCAAAGTACAAATAAAGTTTTTTTTTTTTTTTTACTTTAGGAGCCGCGCGAATAAAGTTTAAACACGTTGTCTTAATGTTTTCACACATAACAAAAAACTAAAACTGAGGTACTGACTTATATAATAAAATAGTAGGCTTTTTTTCCAAGTAATTGTACTTGTAATAGTTGTTTTGGTGAAAAATATTTTTCAAAAACTAAAATTGGTAAATATGATACCTAAGATCGATTATGTCACATATAAGGTTAAGAAAATAGATATTTTAAAAAATGATATGTTAGCAAAAGTTGAATAGAAAAACATAATTACTAATTTTGTATCTCAAAAAATGATAATAAATTTTAAATGAAATTTTATGTAAATATTCGAAAAATGTCTCATTCCATTATCATAAGAAAGATAAGACAACCACTAAAATATACACCATTTTTACGCATCTGTAGGGTCACAGAATGCATGAACGTACATAAAACCAATCCCTCTCCCCCCCCGCCTTCTCTCTTCCCTTCCCCTTCCCCTTCCCCTTCCCCTTCCCCAAAAACAAAAAAAAATTAAAAATTAAAAAACCATGTCCTTGTAGTTCTCACACAGCGAGACAGAACTTTAAATTTGCTAAGCTGATATCGATCACTTACCAGAACTTGTTCTTCTTTCGATTGTTCAGCCTGAGCTCCCCGAGTCGACTTCATGTACCTTTCGATAAGTCCTGGCATGGTTCTTATATGATGAAACGAAAGTTCAAAATGAAAGTTAGATCCTGCGTTATAATAGACTTGGCAAAGCATATGTGCAGACCGTAGAGAGATTCTACCCATTAGTGGCTAGTTCATGAAGCTTTCCATGGGCGGAGAAAATGAGAACTCCAATTTCAGCATCGCACAGCACAGAGAGCTCCTTAGCCTTCTTAAGAAGCCCTGCCCGGCGCTTGCAGAAGGTAACCTGCCTGTGTACAGGGTTCTCAATCCGCTTCATCTGAACTTTTCCTCTGGCCATTAAGACAACCTCCCACTAGTTTGAACTAGCTTCGAGGTTGTTGTGTTCTCCCGTCCGGCAACTGCCGCGTCAAGCTTATCTCTTCAGTATGCGAGTGTGGAACCCTATATATGCCCCTTGATTCTGTTCCCTCTCCCAGGCCAAAAAGAAGAGCGAAAAATAATAATATAGTGGGTAAATTGCGCTAATGGTCACTAAGGTTTGACATTTATTGCACTTTCATCTCTAAACTTTTAATTTCGTCAATTTCATCCTCAATATTTACACGTTGACCCACTGCAGTCCTCACCCCTAACTTTCGTAAAAAAAAACTAATAGAAAATGTCATGTGCCAAGCACATGAGGGTATTAAGGGACATTTTGGTCATTATACTCTCAAAACTTTAGGCACACATGTAAAAATAAAATTGTCTAAACAAAGAAAAAAAAACCCATCTCTCTCTCTCTTCAGCTAGTTACCACCCCATCTTTCTCTTTGCGCAAGACTCCACAGCTGGAATTGAGCTCCCCGATCTACCACCGCTAGAATCAAGCACCACTAGCCACCTCCTGAATCGAGCGCCACCACCCACCACAGCTAGAATCGAGCACCACCACCGCTGGAATCGAGCTCCACCACCCACCACCACTGGAATCAAGCTCCACCACCCACCATCGTTGAAATCGAGAGCCATCACCTACCACTACTGGAATCGATCGCCACCGCTGGAATTCATCTCCTCTCTCTCTCTTTGCCCTCTTACATTCTTCATGCCTTACACACAAATACAGTACATATCCTAACCGAAACAACATTGCAAAACCTATACGCTTGACACCACCCCTAAAAATCTCTTTGATTTTTATTTCATTTTTTGTTTTGCTTTCAATTTTTGAATTCAAACTTGATTTCGAAAGAATTGGGGCTTGGTTGCCTATCGAGGTCTTGGAAAATTCAGTTCTGAATCCATGTGGGTGTATGTGACTGTGGATGTGTATTTGTGATTTTTGTTTTGGGTTTGAGGGTGGAGACACAGTAACAAGAGAGGAGAGAGCAGAGAGGGAGATGTGTTGGGTTTGGGGTGAAAACTCAGTAACGAGATACGAGATAAGGGGATTTGTAGGTTTTGGGAGTGGAGAGAGAGAGAGAGAAAACTCTGAAGGATTTATGCATGTGTGAGGAGAGAAAAGATAAAGGAAGAAGAAAATGGGTGTTTGGATATAAGGATAATTGTATTTGGATATATAAATAGTTGTAAAATACTAAAAATGTCCCTTAATACCTTCATGTGCTTGGCACATGACATTTTCCGTTAGTTTTTTGGACAGAAGTTAGGGGTAAATACCAAAGTGGGTCAACGTGTAAACATTGAGGATGAAATTGATGAAATTATAAGTTTAGGAATAAAAGTGTAATAAGTGTCAAATTTTAGGGATCATTGATGTAATTTACCCTAATATAGTGGGCACTGGGCAGCCATCTTTACTCATAACTAAGCGTATTTTTTTATTGCTGCTTTGCTATTGAGATTTAATTTGGACATTTATTGCATCACGGAAATTTGAGTGAGTTTTAACATTAAATAAAGTCTAGTATTATTCAATGATCACAAGATATTAGATTTTCAAATTAAGTCTCCCAATATTAAGTTGAATCAAATTAAGTCCTCTTATTTTCAAGCACTAACATTTCGAGTTGAATCAAATTGTGACACAATAGAACAAAAAATGCTTGGTTGGTGTGGTTCGAAAGGTAAGAGAATACTTTTGGATAGAGCAATGTTATAAAGACTTAATTTAGGGAACTAATCAGAGAATTAATTAATTACAGTTATTAAATTAGTCGTAAATTCTAAAATTGAATGAAGCTCGTTTCCAATCGAACAACTGCAATTGGTTTGGTTCTCAAATTTGTTTCCTAAATTAGATTTAAATAATATTTTCATTTTGGATAATATTAGACAGACAAAAAAGTGGGACAAACGGTAAAGAGAAAATTACGTGACAATGACATGACTGTTTTTTTAATCTCTTTTTTACTCATTTAAAATTTTGAATTTTCCTAATATCAGTTTCATATCACTTAATCTCGGTTTTATTAATTTATTGGTTATTCTAATATTACCTATACTCTATGAAAGACAGTTATGCGTTCATATTGTGAACAGCTAGCATGTTGTGATAGAGCAGAAGGTGTACGTAGAATATAAAGGTGGCCAACACCACTGGTTGTTCCTTAGGACTTGGCCCTCTCAATTTAGATTTGGTATCCTGGGAGGCCATCCATCATAGGAGAAAAGGATATGTGTGGGCAGTTCAAAGCCTAGTCAGCATGCATTTGCTCTGCCATGTGCATCCCAACTCTTGTTGAACCAATGGTTTTGTTTTGAATCACTCCACCTTTACACTTTTGGGAGCTTTATGTTGTCAACAGTGCTGTTTTTAGGCTTAATAAAATGGTGGAAAGATCAGGACAGCTATCTCCACTTTCATCTTAACTTCGAAGGCTAGAATCTTGTCAAATCAGAATCTTAATAGAAAACCTTAAAGAGATCTCTTCTTCACATCTCTAAATCACTGGCTGCTTGGAGGAGTTTAAGCAATCACCACGTGGATATTATCTTTACATAATGCCAGGTGGGATGCATGTTTGTGCTTTGTGATATAAAGATTAGGTTCCAAAATCTTTTGCTAAAATATAATTGAATACTAGGGAACTAAAGTTACATCTTGGTTCCTGGAAAAAGAACTTTCAATAAATTATTAAATTTGAGTGGCTGATCGAGGATGGTTGAAAAGCTTTTACTTTTGATTCCATTCACATAAAGTAGAACACCATATGCTCCTTCACAGTAACAACAAACAAATTGCATGAATATTTAACCAACATCTTATCTTAGTGTGAAGCAGTGTAATCAAGTGACCCGTTCAATGTGTTAACGAATGATGTAAAAATTGTTGCCATGTACAGGTGTCTAAGTCTTTGTTCTAGGAAAACTTGTCGTACTTTCTTGCAAAATAAACAAATTCCCAAGGACTTGGGGGTGGGGGGGGGGGGGGGGGGGTTGTAANTGGGGGTGGGGTTGTAACGACCTTGAACGTCATGATTGTCAGCGAATGCAAAACATTGCGCGTGAAGATGAGTGTGCAAAGCCGAACCAAGAAAGGGAGACATCAGAATACGTGCGTAAGTGCCTAGTGTGGGTGTGAAGTTCAAAATAAGAATGGTGACGTTCTAGTGAAGAAAATTGAGTCGAAGCAAACGGTTGGACGAATCAGAAATAGCACCCAGTGAGTTAGGGTTTGACCCGGTGGAATTAATTTGAGGTCAAATGGGGCTCTGATGAATTAATTATTATTTTTTAGTCATTTATTTAATGTGTTTGAATTTAAAAAAAATTAATAATTTACAAAATTAAAAAATTGGTGGAATTATCAAATTACCCCTCCAAGCACCTCACATGGAGGAAGTCGGAGGTGGCAACCTATCGTTCCGGGAGGAGAAACACGATGTGGACCTTCCCTTACAATTATACATGTAAAACAATAGACACTTTACCTAGAGGGGGAGGTGAATATATTTTTAAGTTTTAAGTTAAATTGATTACTAATTAAAATCTAATTAACCACAATTACCCCTTCTCAGTCAAATATAGCAATTAATGATGAGAACCATTTTAGTCACCACAGCCCATGAGATCCGTGTGAATGAGCTCTAGGGGTCCCTTAGTTACGATGGTCTTCAATTTATTGTGAGGGACTTTTGTTTGTTTCCCTAATTGACAAGGATAACACACATTGGTAGTATACTTACTCAACATTTGTACTCCCCTCATAACCTCCTTACTCGTTATTCGTTCCAAGTCCTTGTAATTCATGTGACCTAACTTGTAAAACTCGAGAAAATTTAAATTTTTATGAAAAAATGGCAAAATAGTAATTAGTTGCTACAGTATGGGTTGAAAACCTAGAATTTTATAGAACTCAGATGACAAAACGAACCTCATTGCTGTATTCGTCTGGCGAAATCTAGTTACTTAGTCAATTTTCGTTGAATTTCGAGACAAACGAATTTTTTATGGTTTATGATGCAATCGGGTGTCGCATGACCAAAATAAATGCGTTCGGGTTTTGATTGCGAAATAACAAAATTATGTTAAAGTTGGTTTAGATAAAATATATTGTACATAAAACGAGATTCAGGATAAAATCGGATCAGAAAAAGACAAGACGTGCGGCTCGTTGTGGGTCAAATATCCTAGGGGTATAAAAAAAGGAAAAAAAATCAGATTTTCCCCTATTTTGACTGCTGATTTTCAATAGAGGAGAGAGAGAGAGAGAGAAACAAGAGAAGAAAATTCAAGGGTTCTTCCTCCTTCGTGATTAATAGTTAAAATTAGCAACTTACTATGCCTTTTTAAGACTAATTATGCTTTGATAGAATTTTAATGATGACGTTTCAAGAGAAAGATTGTACAAAGACCTAAAGTCAATGGATAACAAATTTTCATGCAACACCCACATGTTCGGGAAGAAAATTGGAGAAGTTCAAAACAAGGCATGAACGTTCGAACGCCAATCCACGTTTGAACGTCCTCTTGAATTAATTGAAGACCAGACTGCTAAGGTGATGTTATATGGCGTGTTGTAGCTATTCCTTAAGAAGAAAAACAAAGAGGTACTTGAGTACCACATTCGAACGACAATCCACGTTTGAACGTTGGCTTGAATTAATTGAGGACCTCATAGAACAGTGCTAGGGCAATGGTATATGGTGTGTTGCAGTTACTCTCACATAAGAACAAAGGCCACTTAAGTAGGAAGTTCAAACTCCATCCGGCGTTAGAACGCCCATCAAGGAAGACAGGAGACAACATTCGAACACCATCTAACGTTCAAACGTTGTCCCTATACAGGCTATAGATTGGTTGATTTTCTATCTGGACCTTGGGGCATTCACTTGGACTTTGAAGACCTTATACTATTCTTTCACACTTCCTTGCCCCCTTCTCCTTGCCTAT